ATTTCTCTCTCTCTCTCTCTCTCTCTCTCTCTCTCGCTCTCTCTCAACATCATCTCTTCCCTCCTCCCCATCCTAAAAACGATACCTGTGAATCATCCATCCCTCCCGGGGGTCAACTCCTGGGAATTTGCCAAACAGGGAGGGGAGATTGGGGGGATTATTTGCATACGAGTGGACGTCACAAATGAGGTAAATTTCCAAAAAAAAAACCCTATTAGACGTTAGCTAAAAGACCAAAAACTATTCAAAAAAGTCTACACCCCCTGCCGAATTCAGATGGCTTACTGTAGCAGTTTCACACAAACTTAACAGCCGTTTAAATTTTTCTAGAGAGAAGTTTTAAACAAGGTGTGGGTTTTAACTGATCGACAACGTTTAAACTAAAAAGTTCTTTCCATCCATTTTTAGTACGATGCAACATCACCACCCGGACCATTCAACAGCGCGCCCCGATATTCCACAGGGGTCAAGAAGAATGCCGCGTCCCGGCCTGGTCCGTGCCAACCTGGTCCCCCGCTTCTTTTCAACGGCTTTTCATCGCGGGGGCTTAGAGCCTTCTTTATCAGTCGGCCCCTCCCTTACTCAGCCCAACAGCTTGGATAGGAGCTTTTTGTTCGCGGCGGCCGGAGGCCGGGCGTTCGGGCTCAATTCGTGCTTTCTTGTGGTTACTTTCTACCTTGGAAACGTTTGTAATAGGGCCTATCAGATAACGGTCGGATCTCGCTCGATCGCTACCTCTCCCTCTCCCTCTCCCCTCTCTCTCCCTCTCTCCCGCTCTCTCTCTCTCTCTTTCGCTCTCTCTCTCCCCCCCGCTCTCTCTCTCTCTCTCGTCTCCTCTCTATGTTTCTATACCTCTGTGTCCCTAACAGCCTCTCTCGCTTTCTATCGCTCTCTCTCCCCTAACTCTGTCTCTCTCACTGTCTCTCTCCCCCTCTTTATTACAGAGTTTTTATCCACATTTATAGCCTCCTTATTTTTGACAGGTGCCCACTTCAAACTTTCCCGCTATTTTACTGCCTTCCGTTTTTTACCCCATCATAAAGAGGTGGTTGAATGTTGCGTGAATAGGAGTGTTCGTGACACCTCCAAGCCCCAGTTTACAGGCATTTACGGCTCGCCGCCAAGCGGCTCGACACACAGCTGATAATCGGAAAAGCGGGGAAAGGACACGAAAACGGGGTGCCCCTACCTGAAGCACCCTTCTTTTATTGCCATGTACTAGCCTGGAGGGGCGACGGAAAGTCTAATGAAGATTCTGGACTAATTGCGGACTTCCAACTAATTTTCTGTTTTTTTGGTTAGTTTCAAGAAATTCGAATAATAATTTAAAAGGGACTAGGAAGCAAGGAATCAACCCGTTTCTATATCCAGACCGCCACACGATACGCGAAAGGACCAAGGGGTGGAACGTTGGATATTTGGTCCTATTTGACCCACAACCCGAAGCTTCTTTACGCTCCTTATTTAACTTTCCGTCCCTCCCCCCCTCTCTCTCTCTCTCTCTCTCTCTCTCTCTCTCGCTTTTTCTCGCTCCTTCATTCTCTCTATGATGCTATCTTTTAAAGGGCGGCTGACGGCATGTGTGGAACCCCCCCCATCAACAAATTGGCAGTAGCCAACAGGGCGCAGAGAGCGCGCCCGGGCGCAGAGACATTTTCCTTCCCAGCGTAACCGATTGACTATGCCGTCGGCATCCCTTTAAGCGTCTTTTGGAGTTCCACGTAGCTGTCCAGACCAGGTGCAGCGGCTGTCGAAGGATAGGTTTTTTTTGGCGCTTGCGAGCCTAAAACCTTAAATTACAAGGATTCCAACTTTCCAAGTCTCTTTGAAGAGACCTGCGATTCCGGCATGCAACAAATTCCGAGCCCATCCCTCTGATCAAGGTGGTGAAAGGTGTGAAAAGGCTCTTTCCGGTGCCCCCTCCGAATTGCTTTACTGCCCCCCATCAATGTCCCGATCACCACCACCCCCTATCCACCAAGAAATCATCCCTGTCATATGCAAATTGCGTAACGGGCCTTTCCCCGGGCAAAGCGGCCCGCTTTTCAACTGTCCACACCCATCAAAGCCAAACACCTCTTGGTGGGGCTACGATTTCGCGCCCTTTAGTAGTTCGGAATAGTGGTACGTCCATCATGGCTAGATTTTTGACTTGTGGGTCCTTAAAATCTGCTGTCAAAGTAAGGAAAAGCGAGTATCGACCCCTTTGAATGCCTATTTGTCGAGATCTACGCAATCACAAGAACGTAGCGTTTCTGTCGATGCCTAGAATTTAAAGGGGGTCGATTCGTTCCCTTACGAATCTCTTTAAAGTCAGCCAAGGGAGGGCTTATGACCTTTTTATGACTTGGCATAGAAAACAGCACATCTACCAGTGGCGTCACACCAAAATTAGGATTATCCCGGCAAGCGTAATTTGTTGTGCTTCGTCGCTTTCGATCCTTATACGGTGGTGTGGGCACAGGAAGGCACCAGAATGGACTAGTAAACGCCAGAATAGTCTCACCAAAAAAAGTTTTAAAACAGAATCAACGCCATTTTGTAGTTGTCAGGACCTAGTCAACAATAAGAAGTCGAGATTTTCGCACTTCCCAGCACCTTTAAACCGATTTTTCCGGCTAGATCTACCCTAATTAGCATTTCGGACTGGTCGATCATCAGCTCGGGCGGTGGTTGTTGATGGTGTGGCCTCATCTCACTGAGGCTGGGAGGGATGAAGGATTGTGGATTGTGTATTGGGTGGATGTCCCTAATAGGGCGATGTGGTGAGGTGATAAGGAAGAGAACGGAGGGGACTCTCTTGCATATCATCTGCACTACGGGATGAACCACTGAACGGGTGGGAGGGGGATCATCTCACTGGTGCCAGCCGTATTACTCGACTATACCATAACCGATTTTCTAGAATTTTTTGGAGTTATGCTAATTTTTTAAAGCTCTGTATCGGCCTCCCTATCTCTTGCTCCGTTTTTGTCTCTCGCTCTCTCCTTCTCTCTCTATTTATCTCCCAGTTTTTGTCTATCCCAACATCCGTCGCACTCGCCAATTTAAACGACGATAAATTTTTAGGATTTCTGCAGTTATGCTAATTTTTATCTCTCTCTCCTCGCTCTCCTCTCCCCCCCTCTCTCTCTCTCGCTCTCTCCTTCTCTCTCTCTCGCTCTCTCTCTCTCTCACTCTCTCTCTCTCTCGCGCTCTCGATATACAGCCAACAATGCCGTAGTCATACCTTACGTTAAAATCTCCTTAAAGACCCATCAACTTCCGCGGCTCTACTCATCCATCCGAATAATCAGATTCTAACTAAGCCGCTAACCTATCTCTGTATCTGATGTGACCCATCGACCTTGATGACCACACTTCCTGTGCCCATCCTTTGACACCCAGGCGATGGCCGGCTTGATCGCATCTACTCGCTGATCCACCACACTTTATCGACTTTGATTATCGGCTCCAGTTGTGCGTTGGAGGCTTTCCCGCTTGTGATTTTGTGTGTTCTTGGTCCAGCTTCTGCAGCATTTTTTGCTCAATCGAGATAATTTTTAGAGGCTGTGGAGTTGCCCTGAAATCTGACAACGCTTTGGCTTTTTGTGTTCTGGAAATCTCATCATAGATATTAAGGCAAAACATATGCTTAGATCTGGTGTAAAAAAACGCGCAATATCGATGAAATAACCCACGAATACGTAGCTCGAAGTCTGCGAAATCTGCCATTGCAAGTCGCCTAGCTTTCTTTCTGATACCTGGGCTTTTTTTGGCGTCTAAAGCTCTATCAGGAATTTTCAAAGGGATTTAACAGCCTGATTTTATTGACTTTCGAGGTTGAAGTACCGGCTAAGGCGCAGCAAAAATCAATAAATTTTGTTTTGTAATATGCCCGGCAAATCCATAGTCGGACCATAGAGTCGAAGAGGAATCGACAAACATTGGTGTGTCTCTAAAGGGATGGGAACGGGGGGAATAGGGGTTGGAACGGGTGGGATGGCTCTAGCTATGGAGGGTCGGATATGGGATTCGGTTGCAAATGGTGTGCATACATAGACACTCGGCATGAGACACGCTTCCAAGTCAAGGGGGGACACTTTCACACCAATTCCATGACGCGACAAATTCACCGGCTTAAAAATGTTATTTTCTCTTTGTTTGTTCTTAAATTGTAGTTGTTATCATGTCTAGGAAGCCCTAGCTTCCTTGAGGTATCGAATCTCCTTAAATTAAATTTTTGTAAGGTTTTGGAAGAGCCTAGCTCTTGCTATCAAGTTGTCGAAATTAATTTTGTGGCTCTTTTTGATTGAATTTCGATATAGGCTTTCAATATATCTATTTTTGTTGTCTGATTCTGCTTATTGCCGAGCCAATAGTACCCTCTAAAGGAACAGTGAATACTAAATAACATCCCCTTTTGACCCCTTTGACCATGCGCCCGGTTGACACGGCCAGGTGTCCCTACATCCACCCTTCTACCCCCCACGGCTAGACCCAATTTGTCGACTGTCACCAATTGCAACAACTGTTGACACACTCTAGTGCCCAAAAAACTTGGTTTTATCGGCGTTTATTTTGTTCTTTGGCATTTTAATATTGCTGAGATCCTTGGTTTTCAAAAAATGCGGACAAATGCAGTTATTTTCTGGTCAGTTCTTCCACGTTTTTCAGCTCTGTTTCAAGGGGCGTGTGGAGTTTTTTTTTATGTGACATCCCTCATTCGATAGAGCTTGAAATTCTGATTAAATCCCTTCCTTCAAAGAATGCCGAACGGCCATGGGTTTCAAAAAATTGCTTTGAAAGGTCGATATTTCCTGGCTCGCACTTAGCAAAATGTAACATTCGAGGAACGTTTGCCGAACCAGAGGAGTGGTGCAACAGTTTTTGAAAGCTTGGATGCGTTCAGAATTGCTTGCTGGTCATTCTTCTCTGAGCTTGTTCTTTTGCTCAGGTTTTTTGCTTCGTAATTTTTAGTTTAGTTTTTCATCCTTTCCATACATTTCAGGCCGCTGTGGATGCGGGCCCTTGGACTATTGTCCATATTAATATGGACGATAGCAATCTCAAATGGGTATCCGCTGGCCGGAGAGGTCGCTCACGAAGACGAGGAGGTATAGTGTTGCCGGTTTGTCTAAAAATTGCTTTTACAGATCGCAATTCCCTACAATGAGGAAGCCTCCGGAACCGTCCCCACATTTGAGGAGGAACTCGAGATTGTCGAAAATATTATAATAGGTTGGTGGTTTAGGGTGGGTTTATAAGAATTATGCGTTTGAATGGATATCCGGGATTTTTCTTCCATTTCTTCATTATCCATATCACCTTCTTTTGCTCGGATTTTCATATTTCCTGTTGTACCTGCTTCGATACTCACAGTTTATGGCATGCCTCTTGAACTTCGCTATTTTTATCGACGCTTTTTAAAGGACCAAGCAAGACATAGCTATGGATTTCCTGGCTATAGATCGCAACACGCAACGCGGCCGCGACGCGATGTTGTTGTTAGTGGGGGACAAGCAGAGTTGCTTTAGGAAAGGGGCCGCCTAGCGGAATTTTTTTGCATAGCAGCGCCTAGCAGAGATCTTTTAGGAAAAGACAGGCTAGCAGAGAGTCTTTATAAACGGCAGGCTAGCAAAGATTCTTTAAGAGAAGGTCAAGCTAGCAAAGGGTTTTGGACAAGAGCGAGCTAGCAAAGATGCTTTAGGGAAGCAGTGAGCAGCATCTCTAAAATAGGGGGTCTGGCCAAGATTCTTTCGGAAAGGGCAAGCTAGCTGAGATTCTCAAAAAAACGATAACATGGCAAGGGATTCTTTAGGAAAGAGGCAAGCTAGGAAAGATTCGTGCGGAAAAGCCAGGAAGCGAAGATTATTCCATTTGGCGACGTAATGACACCCCGGTGTTTGGAAAATCACGGGCGAATCAAAATCCATAGCAAATCCATGACCAAAAAATCGATAACCTTGCCCTGCTCGTCCCTTTAAGGTTCTTTCCAAGACTTTTCTCACTTAGTTCGTAAGGCGCCCTCAAAAACACCCCCAGAACCGTATAATCAATGCCGACACCCCGGTCATATTTCATACGATTTGTTGATAGCATCTTCGCGTACACCCCAAATAGGTGACACCGTTTCCGTTCGGGGGGTCGAAGAGGAGGAGTGCATTATCATTCCCCGTTGACCATCTCCACCTCCCACGGTTTAGCCATCCCCTCGAAAATATGCGAGCCGGCCGAGAATTATGGGGGCATACCTGGCACGCGTCCTGTCACCGGCGCGGGTTTTAAAGGGGCTAATTTCAATTGCGCCGTTACCGCGTCGATTCTAGGGTCTAGTAAAGCGTCATGTTCTAAGTTAGCTTGCTCAAAAGTATACCAAAACCAAGCTCTAGAGCTGGAGAAAAAGTTAACAATTAACTTAAGCCCGAAATAGAGCGCTTTTGAAAAGAACCAGCAGACAAACCTCAAGGAAACGTCACCTAATCAACCGACCAAAGTATCGGAACTTACTCAAAAACTCCGCAGTTTCCATGGACACCCCTTTAGCTCCTAGCCGCCCTCAAGAAGTACGGCTCCATGATCCCCCGTCAAGCGCCCCAAAAACCCTGATCTCCTCCCGGGTCTCCGAACGGCTATTTGCATAGATGGCGTGTGGGTGGCTGAAGTGATATGCAGATGAGGGCCCCGATTCCCCCGCAGGGTCTGGCTTCTCGATATTTGCGGGTTCTTCCCCCGCATGAAGTGAGAGAGGAGGAGCCGTTCGTGTCGATTTGACGGCTGGTGTGAAATCTGGGCTCAAGTGCCCTCCGGCCTAGACCGACCACCCAGACCCCCGGGTAAACCCAGATCGTTGGCCTATTGACTGTACGATGCGGGGGATGGATTGTCGGATTAGAGGGATGATGACGGCCCGGGTTAATGAGGTCTAGTGCAAAATTGGCAAACGCCGTCTAAAAAACCGAGGAAAGGGCATGCTGAGAGGTAAGAGTGAAAGCGAGGGATAGAGAGAGACCGAGTGCGAGCGAGACAGAGTGTGTGAGAGTGAGAAAGAGTAGAAAGGAATCTAGTACCATGACTTGCCGGTCCCTTGAAAGCTCGATGGTCGCATTACGGCAAAACCGAGGGCGTTCACAGGAGCGATACGTAGTCCAAAGCGTACGTCACGAGGCGTGGAGGCTGTAAACCAAAGCATCTACCTAAGTTACGCCCGGCTTTCGGCTTCAGCTTAGTCTTAGCTTCGGCATAGGCTTAGGTTTAGCCCGACTTCGGGCTGCCGCTTATTTCTGCATAGGCTTAAGTCTAAGCTTAGGCTTGGCTGACGTGTAGGGAGAAGTTAAAGCTTTATTTGAGGGGCTTAGTTAGGTTACGTATTGCTTGGGCTTTGACCAGGTTTAGATATGTATAGCTTACTGTTAGACGTAGACTGAGAATCAAGCGTAGGTCGGTGGTGGCTAGGCTGTTTAGCAATTTCCTGGATGATTATAGTTAAGCAAATTGTTGGGCTATTTTTGTCCAGTTACTCATCATTTTATCCACCACTCGATACCTTCCGAACTGACAAAAAGAACTCCGAAGAAAAGGTGGAATTTCGCTCGCACGGAGAGAGAGAGAGAGACAGCCAGACAGACAGAGAGTGCAAGAGAACCCAGTGAAAACGGCGCACACAGTGGCCAAACAGTCTGTAAGGGCCGTCCCTTGGGCTTCTCCCCCACCCGCCCCCTCCCACCATTCCTTCGGTCCCCCACCTACCCCTCCCTAAAAGTCGCCCCAATACCGTAGTCCGGCGGTCCGATCGAGATGTTGTCGCTATTCGCGGCCCTCTCGCTCACCGTCGTCTACCGGGTGACGCTAAATCTGCCGGGATTACCGTATTCCACCGAGCTACGACACCCTGGATCTGTCGAATTTCTCAATACTTCGAAACATTTGGTGGAAGGGGTTGAGCATATTTTGCGGAGTATTCCGGGCGATCACCGGGCTACCGTACTCCAATACCGGTTTGTGGCGGAACGGGAGGAAATGGCTGGCTCTCGATTTTGGTTTCCGGGAGCTTTAAAGGGACTGGGAAATCCTACTATCCTACTATATCTAAAAAAATAGTGTCTGTGTGTGTGTGTGTGTGACTTTGCGTGCAACTTCCGTCAGGTTGTTCCAGTCGTATCTCAAGTAGGAGAGCGGTTAGGGGCATGTTTGATACGTCATTAGGTGCGTAATGGTCTGGAGATGACTGCACGCATATCAGATTTATCGAAATCGCCCGTTTTTTCGCCATATTTTTAGTTTTTGTTGAAAAATCCGCGGAACCTCCTTTTTTTTGAAAAATAATCGCCGGAAGTGGGGGTGGCTACTATAAGGAGCAGAGAGCGCATTTTTCATTTTTTTGCGTGAGAGTTGGGCCGGTGTGCCAAGTGTTTCCATTTCCGTCCAAAACGGGGCGTTAAAGTCAGACGGCGCTAACTTGTGAAATATAAAATTTTTCGTAATCTGTTTTCGACCATGTTTGACTTTAAGTTGGTGGTTTGATTTTCAACTAGCTGCTTCAAATTTGTTTTGGATTTTCTGGCTGTTCACCGAATTTTTCGCTTAAATCAACGTGGCGAATCGATTTTTTGCGTTTCTTTTTGCCTGTCTTGTTTTTCAGAACCGCTTTTTGAGGTTGAGAGTTCAACCTAAATTCCCCGTACAAGCGTTTGCTGCTTGCCCTTGCTTTTTTTGTCCTTCTCCTGCTTCGTCCACTACCTGACCCGGTTAGCCGTCTGTTTTCCCTTCGACTTTATTTTGCACACCGAGGCAATGCGCCCCGCCTGGTTTTTTTTTGGCAAGTTGGGGGTAAAAATTAGGCTGGAATTTAGCTCTAGTTATGATAGGGCGACTACGTAATGCTACTCTGCACGCCGAAAATTGTTGACTTGACTAGCCAAACCCCGCTGAACGGCTTGAACCGGATGCCTGCGTAGCCATAGCGAATCGTTGGAGGTGAACAGTAGACGTATACTAAATTTCCAAAGTCTCGAGAAGCTCGCGGGTAGTGCCTTCCAAGTCCCTTTAAAATGCGTTAGGCTCTTAAAACTCCGTTTACACCCACTACGTGACATCCCCCCGAACGGCTCGAAGTCGTTGCCAGCCCCCTTGCCCATGGTCCGAGCCCAGGGCCCGGGGTGAGATGTTTGTAGGTGTATGTGTGTGTGTGCGTGTTTGTGTGTGCGAGTGAGTGTGGTGGAAAGAGATTGTGTAAGTGGCTGTGGCCTGGCCTGGGCTTAGACTGACTGACGAAGAAGTGAAGAACTGACTGGGGGGTGGAGGGCCTCTTTTCTGTCGGCAAATACCCCTCAGCCATCCCTCGTCCGGAGCGAATGGATGGAATGGAATGGATGGGGGGATGGCTTAAGGGTGGCTGAGGAACATGCATTAAGGATATCAAAATTGGTCTTTTTACAGCTAAGAAAAAGGAAGATTCTTAAGGGACCGGCAAGTCGGGATTATGAATCTTTTTGCCGAATTTATGGATCTTGCAGAACCCACAAAGCGTTTCATAAAAGCCCGAGAAGTTATGGCTATGGATTTTTCAAGATTCTTCCTGTAGCCGCAACACGCGACGAGCACTCCTTGGCCACGGAGAACGGGTCGCAATCAGTTACGCACTGTAATAACGGCCTCCGCGCGTATTCGTCGCGTAGGCGGCAAAACTTGGGGTGCGCTAGCAGGATGGTGCCCTAGATTTTGCCCTGTCGCGACGCGCACGCCACCGCCGTTGCATGTTGCTGGCGGCATTACAGAGTTCCATTGCGTAATCCATTAATAATCCAAATCAGCCAAAATAACTAATTATGGCATCGCGGGTGCGGTGAAATTCTGGAAGATCCAGACAAAAATCCGACTTGGCGACTTACCCGTGCCTTTCGATGTCACCAACAGCATGATTTTAAAGTCGACCTAGTCATTAGTAGGTGAACCCCTTGAAGTCGGGCCAATCAAAAAATGCCAAATTCCCGAAAATAAGAGCCAGCCATTCCCTGCCGTAACTGAATTTCGATCCACCGCTCAATCCCTAATTTGCCCCTGTAGATACCACAAAGAAGTGGGTACCTTCGGCCATGTCGACGTCTATTCGGATACGGTAGACGCGCGGATACGAAAAGCCTTCGATCAGGCGATCAGGGTCGGCAAGATTGGAACGTTTGCCGTGTCGCCGGATGGATATGAGATTCATGTCATTAAAGGTACAGGTACTGGGAATTCTGACAAATTCCGAAGGTCATATCATGTCGTAAATGGATTCTCATTGATTATCGCAAATTTTTTGTCGGTATTTTCTCGAATTGCGATATCCAAATTTTTATTTCTTCGCAAATTACTCTCTCACTCTCCTCTCCTCTCACTCTCACTCATTCAATTTCGCTCTCTCGCTCTCTCTCCCCCTCTCTCTCTCTCTCTCTCTCTCACCTGAAAATTCAAATTCATCCCGGGTATCCATTCAATAATCCATGACGTTCCACACTTTTCTGGAACCCTCCAAGCCACCAACCCACTGACAAACTTTTGTGTCGGTATGGCCCCCCAAAAATTGGGCACAAAAGATGGCCCGCGACGACGACTCGGCAAACAGAATTGCCCCCTCCCGGATATTATAATCGGGCGCCCGCCCTTCGAATTCTACACAAACACAAACACGACAGAAATCGAAGGGGTCGAAATATCGAAATACCAGAAAAAAATAAAAGAAAAAGTATCTAAGAACTGAAAAATGTCATTTTAGCCTCCAACACTTCATGCAACCCGGAAGAATTTTCGTGCGCTGATGGAAGCTGTATCGAGGCGAAGAAGTAAGGAATTATTATCCAAAACTGTCGATTTCATTTTCTATCATTGGCTTGATCAGTCTCTCTTTCTCACGCTCCCGTTCTAACTCTCGCTCCTGCTTTCTTGCTCACTATCGCTCTCTATATCTGTCGCTCTCTTCTTATCTCTACTGCTCTTTCTCTCCTGTCTTGGTCACTCTCCATCTCGCTCTGTGTCTCTCCAGCTCCCTCTCTCTGCCTCACTCCCTCTCTTTCTCTGCTCACTCTTTCTATCGCAAAAAACATGACGCCATGTAAATCCGTCAAGAAAAAGCCAAATAGATTTTCCAGGCGCTGCGATGGCCACGCCGATTGCGCCGACCATTCTGACGAGCGGTCCCGCCATGGTAATTTTCCAAATTAAAATACTAAAATTTTGTTCCAGCCAAATGCAACCGCCACGCGCCCATCATCTTCCAAAAGCAGAAGACGATCCGCGTGCGCCCCGGCGGACAGCTCGTCCTCGCCGCCGTCATCGACATGGTGCCCCACGATCGACAGGTAATACAAGGCTTCTTAAATACCGTGTAAAGACGTTTAGAATTCGCAAGTTAGAATATTTATATTCATTAACCGTTCTATCCGTTATTTTCTAGGTAGTCTGGTCCCGCCACGGCCATATCCTTGGCCAGGGGGGCCTGACGACCACCGAAGACTCGCGAATCCACGTTTATCAGTAAGTTTTAGCTTTAGTTTTTTGGCTTAAGAAGCTAAATTATCTATGTTATTTTTTTACAGTAACCACGACGAATACTCGTTACACATCGACTATATGAATCGACAGGATGAGGGCGAATATCTTGTAACTGTCGAGGGAATGGGCGTTGAGGCCAAGTAAGTGTTCTCTCTCTCTCGCGTTTCTTCCCTCTGTCGCTCTCTCTCTCTCTCTCTCTCTCTCTCTCTCTCTTGCTTTGGATAAATTTAGCAGCAGATATCCCATTTACTAGGTTCCACGTCGAAATTTCGTCCGAACATCTCCCAGAACAAACCGAAGGCTGCCCAGAAGGAGAACGAGCTTGCAAGTAAGACAATAGTACCGTTCTGATGCTACTCTAAAAATTTCAGATCTGGCCACTGCATCCCAACGCACCAATTCTGCGACCGCGAACGGCAATGCCCCGATGGAGACGATGAGCACGACTGTCCAAGTGAGTTTAAGCGTTTTTATTTGTTAACCTGTGAATCGAATGGTGCCATCACGGTTACCGATCACGCGTAAATTATTTTTAAAACTTTGGAAAATTAGTCTAGTTTGAGCGGGAAGCTCCGGGTCGGAAGCTAGGAGCTAAGAGCTCGGAGCCAACAGCCCAATTCGTAACATCCATTTATATTTATTCTTTCAGCCGTCATCTGCGCCCGCAACGAGCTCCGCTGTGCTGTTGACAACGTCTGTATGCCTTTGACCTTCCGTTGCGATGGGTGGAAGGATTGTGCGGATGGAACTGATGAATTGGTGAGCACACAATATGCCGTTTTGGGGATCTGGACCGGAACCTAGATCGGAATCTAAACCCTGGGCAGCCGCGCAGCGGTTTAGAACCCGCGATGCAACCGCTCCGCATTCAAATGACTCGCAATGAAAGCGCGTCTATTACATTTTCAGGCCTGCCCTGCTACCAAAGCTGTCAAGGCTCCCGGCGCTAAGTCGGTCGCCTCCAAGCCTACTGTAACCTGCGCCGACGGATCTGCCCCGGAATATTCGCTGTAAGTTCAAAAATATTTTTGAAAAATTATGATTATTATATTTCGCAAAAATATAATATAGTTTTTTATATATAAATAGAAAAGTTGGCTTAAAAATGTTTTGTTTTGTTCCAAATTTTGAAAATGCTGTTTCAAAGCGTTTTTAGAAAAATGGAGATTAAATGGAAAATTAGAATCGAAAAAATGTTCAAATTTTTGAATTGTTTGTGTGTATTTTCATGACTCACCCGCCCTCTTGGCGCACAATTTTCCGGCCCCGGAAAAATATGCAAAATTCCATAATCCCTCCCCCCGGGCGCCCAAAATTTGTTTGCGGGACGCTCAACGGCTGCTGCCCCCACCAGATTATAGCCCCCTAAAATTTGGGGACCCTGGGGCTTGAGTGAGCCACTTGAGGGCCCCCGAAGCACACCATCGCACCCCTAGGCGGGGGGGTGAAAAGCATATGCAAATGTGGATTTTTCGGGGTTCGGACATGCTGGGGAGGTGGAAAAAGGCTAAATGGACCATTTTAAATGTGCTGGCAAAGCATGAAAACTGCGGATGATGTCGGATTTGGATTCTACCCGGTCGCGACACGACACACACACGCGACGCGCACGCGGTGTCCTAAATACCTTGACTTTGGCCTACGAACGGCATAAAGGATTCAATCGCGTTGGGTGTCGCGGAAGCAGTAAAATAAATAGGGAATAAATCAATAATAGAAGACGGTTGAGGCCTGCTTTGTCGATCCCTTTAAAGGGCTGCCGACGGTATGTGTCGATCCCCCATCAACAAATTGGCAAATAGCCAACAGGGCAGAGAGCGCGCCGTGGGGGAGGCGCAGAGACATTTTCTTTCCAGCGCATAACCGATTGACTATGCCCTGTCAACATCGCTTAAAAAATATTCACCTACCAATTTTATGAAAGCGGTCCACGCAATAGTCCCCTGTTTCCTAAAGCGTGGATGTGGCCCCCTTGGGCGGAGGAGCGACTGCCCTGTCTCGATCCAACAGGCTTTGCTTTGATAATTCGCGTTGTCGCCACAAAGCCGGGTTCGAAGATCCCGGACGGGAATTCGGCTTTTGCTTTTCGGCATAAAAAGGCTGAGAGTTGGTTTTTTCTCCTTGAATAACACCATTTTAGGCACGGCTCGACCTACTGCTGGGCGAACAGCGTCTGCCCCACCGATACCGAATGCGCCAACGGGCTTTGCTGCCGGACCGGAAGTAAGTCATCTAAAAGACTTGGGATCGGTTTGACTTTTCAAAGTTTCGAGCTTAAAGTCCCTTAAGCAGCTTGGCTTTTCTAAGTTTAGGTGGTACATCCGCCCACCTCTAGCCTTTCCTAGGCCCGACGGTACGCATTTTTTTTTTGCTTCACCCTTAGCCACTGACCACCTTTCAATTGACCGGCCTGCCAAAAAAATTGCCCTTTATCCGACAGCCGTCCTTTTCTTTCCAAATCCACACAAACAGTATGTGTTTGCAGCCCCCCACAGAGAGCGTAAAGAGTTGCGAATCGGCACTCAACTCGGGGCAAATAGATGCCCCGCATCCACCCCGCTTCGCACTGGCTTGGCCAGAGAAGCTCGGGACGGTTTTTCGGAACGCCTCTGCTAGGTTAGCTGATTCGGAGATAAACCTGAGTAAAGCGGCAATGAAGGCAAAAGGGGTGCAAAATTAAAATGATCGAAAAGTTGCTTGGGATTTTTCACAGAGATTTTTGGGTTCTTGCGCTTTATCGGGCTCGGCGTTATGGGGCGAAAAATGGGCAAACCAGCAAAGATCTTTTGACCACCAAGCCAAAAATAATTTTTACAATAAACGCATTTTTGTGCACTTAGTACCGTAATTGATAACTTTATTAGAAGCCCGTGAAGTTCAAATTGGTTATACGTTTTTGCGGAGTTATGCGGCTTTTGGCTTTTCCTTTTCCTTCAGCGCCAGCGCCTTTTTCCGGTCGACCTCCATTGTTGTTTGCACGTAGAAGTACCTAAAATGTAATACTTGTTAAATAGATATTAATTAGTGTAATTAGGCAGAAAGATTAATATAGATAAACTAATACATTTAATACGGTAGCTTACCCAAGGAATATCAGCAAAAAGAAGGGCCATCGCAGCGTTACGGTCTCTTCCTCGAAAATGCGCCGCACGAAGAGTTGGCCGACCTTAAAATTATATCAATTTAGTGAAAAAATTGGCATATATATATGTTTATTTAATAAGTTGGATGGTATAGGCATTTCATAAACTTGATGTAATACTCTGAAACCCACCTCTGATCCGCCCAAAAAGTAGAAATTTGAGTACAACCCAAAGGCGTAGGGGACGATTTGGAGGATGCCAAGGATGCGTCTAAAATTTGTAGTTTTGTAATTTTGGTATATTTCCATTAAAATACCTAAAATTAACGTCCGAAATATTCTTCTCACGCCACATTTTCACACCCTCAATCCCGTAGAAGGCCTTGCTCGACATTTCGATAAACAGTGCGACGACGTTCAGTCCAATCCACACCTAAAAGCAGGTATCAGAAGTTTATCTTTAAAGGGTTGGCAGGAGTCGTTTTTAAATGCGACAAACCCTATCAAGTTGTAGCTTACGTAATTATGATGGTAGAACCCGTGCCACAGTAGCACGAATCCGAACGACACCAGCACTCCGCAAATCTTGCGCGGCAGCGAGAAGCTGGGCGCGCAGATTGGGATGAAGATGTAGCGCTTGAAGAATTGGTAGAGCCCGCGGTCAAACGCGCGCCAAACCTAAATCAAGCTTTTTGAAAGGTATAGTAAGACAGTAGTATAGTAGGCGTCGCCTGATCGCATACCTTTTAACAGATTTAAACTCAGGCTGCCTACCTTCGAGTATAACACAACCCCAACGATGCAAATTGGGCCGTCGAGCGGTTGCATATTGTCGAGCTTCGCGAATAGGGTAGGGAGGCCGAAGATGACCACGTATTTGAGGTGGAAGGACATTCCTAAAAGTTTCGGGTTAGAATTAGATTTAGGTTTTGGCCTAACTTTAGGCTTGGCTTTACGCCTCGGCTTAGGCTTAAGTTTAGGCTTAGGCTTGGGCTTAGGCTTAGGTTAGGCTTAGGCTTAGGCTTAGGCTTAGGCTTAGGCTTGGGCTTAGGC